CAGCAGGGGGGTTCTCTTTTTTGTTTGTTTTCTAAAAAGTTTGAATTATAGCATGTAACACTAAATTTGGTAATGTAGTCCTTTGCATGGACGAAAACAGGTGTCAAAATACTTTTACCAAAGGCACAATCACGATGAAGTTTCCCTTTTGCCTCCAATTTTGCTAACCCTAAAAAAAGTGTTTCACTTATTTCAAGCATCATTTACATGCAAATTCCAGAACTAGACAAAAGATGCAAGTCCCTTCAAGTTTAGTATCTGTGCTAAGTTACGGGTTAACTGTAGTTCTGGCGAACATGGAGTGGAGTGGCATTTGAGGGAAGTCTGTAAGCAGAGCATCATGCCTTCTGACCTTGTCGCTAAAACACAGGCATTTTATTCAGAAGCAGGCCTGATCGTCTGAACGTCCCTTCATAGCAAACTCTGGTGATGCTGAGAGGGAAACCCCGTACCAGGAAACAGTGATCTAAACCTCACTAGAGTGTACCCAACAATTTTCTATCAGACATGCTCTCCAAGGATTATCCTCACTTATGGAGAGCCCCCCCCCGATTGATTCGAAACTTCTCTGTGAGAAGGTGGGAAAATGCTGAGACTGAGAATTTTCTGGTCAGAAAAATAATGTTCTCTATTCTAAATTGGGATACAAACGTAGACTCTCCCATTGTCCATGACTGCACCTGACCAGCTCATTCACTCCAGGAGGCCAGCCCAGGCATACTTCACCCATCAGCGTTTAGAGGATAGCCGGCTTATTTTCATGACCCAAAACCAAAAAAAAAAAAGGAGTCGTCAATTATCTCTGTTTCTGTATGGAAAAATTTAAAAACTGGTTTCATTCGATTCTGTTTATTTTGGGAAGGTGTGTGGGGGGGAAGGGCGTTCTTCCAAGTGAATCATATCTCAAACCCCTACCAGCTCTTAAATTTTATTTGATGTGTTCAAAGCCAAAAAGTAATTTGAAAAAAGCAGGGCTGAACACTTACTCTGACATGAAGCTGAAGGAGGGAGCAAGACAGAGAGACAGGAAGAGAGCATGGCCTTGGCTTCATACCACACTTTTTGTGCCTTGTATTATCAATGTAAATTCTGAATGTTGTAAGTAAACTCTTGGATGGACTTCTTCGAAAAGGCTGCACTGGCTTCTTTTTCAGCACATGTACATATCTATAAATATATATACATATATATTTGGTAATGCCAAACAGCTGTGTTATATTGTATTGGACAAAATGGACGGTTTGGATGTTTTATGTAGAGTTTGCAAAAAAACTGGATGGTTACCGACTTTTCGAGATAAATGTACAGAGGTAAATTACTGCATATCAGTTATTTATGAATAAAGAGTCTTTTATTGACATTTTAGGACACTCCGTGAGTGGGACTTTGAAATCTCAATGAGCACCCCACCCTCTCCCCCGCCACGTCCTGGCTGGGAAGTTTGACATGTGGATCGTGTCCAGATGTCTGTTCACG